AAATTTAATTTTCAAATTGTAACGTCATTTTTGGATGGAATCGAACGAATTCAAATTCGAACGTATCCGCTCATTTTTTCGCTCATTTTTTTGCTCATTTGTTGTTGTTTTGGTTTTTCGATTTGTCGCCCAAAAATGAAATTAATTAAATTATCAATCAATCAATCGATCTATCAAATGACGGGCGCGATGGATGGATGGATGGATGGATGGATGGATGGTTGGTGGTTGTTAAAATATATAGAGTAAAACAAGTTCAGCAAAAAAACGTGCCACACGTACAACATCAAACATTTTTGCAATGTTCACACAGAATCAGATTGCTGAATTTAAGGAGGTAAGTATCATCAAAAGCGAGCAAAAGCAAACTTAATAATAATAATAATAAATTGTCAAATTGAATTAATTTTTGATGGATGATTCGACAAGAAAAAAAACCAAACAACATCAGAAGAAGAAAGCAAAATCATCATCATCATCATTCAATGTTATCCAAATGAATGTTTATTTTCATGTTTAACATTGGAATTTTTTTTTGCTTGTTTGCTGTTGTTGTGAATCAAAATGATGATACATTACAATACATAATGATGATGATACATAATATCAAAGTTAATTTTTCTTCTTTTCTTCGTCTTTCTCGTCTTTCCCTTCGTTTTTTTTTAGTAATAACGAATTCTGTTTCTGACTTTGGTCAGCAGCAGAAAAAACAACAAAAAAAAACAAAAACCCAGAATAGGTTACTGTATTTTTATCTAGTAGTTTTTCAACTACTACTAGATATTGAAAATGATTGAAGAAACAAAAAAAAAATTCCGCTTCCTCATCAATAATTTCATGTTTTTTCATCCCCAGATTCATATTTTTCTGATTTTTTTCAGCAGCAGCAAAATACAAATCACTTGACTATAATGACTTGATATTAGTTTTTTTTCTCTCTCTTCGTTGTTATTTTTTTCACCATTATCATCATCATTATTTGGCTACAAAATTCAAAAAGAGAGAATTCCAATAGTCAGAATAATGGAAAAAGTCAAAATTTAATTTGATTATTTGGCCATCATCATCATTATTTCGATCATGATTTTTTCTATTTGGCCATAATCATTACCGATTTTTTTTTGTTTGGATAAAAAAAAATCAAAAATCAAAAATGAATGAAAAACCCATAAACAAAAATATAAATTTTTTATTTGAAAATTTTTTTGAAAAAAAAATTTACAAAGGTGAATATAGCCCGAACCATATTGCTGTCAAAATAGAATCGAATGAAACCAGGAATCGAATGTTTTTTTTCTCACTGCATTTTGGCTGTTATCGTCGAAGATTCTCCGAAAGTTCAGCCGAGAAAATTTAAAATTTAAATTTTAAATTTTAAATCAAAAAAATGAATTTTTCTGACATTGTAATGATGATGATGATGATCATCATAATCTACTGAATGATCGTTTTTTTTAGAATCTCGGTGCATTTTTTTCTCTCTCCTCTGTGTTCTTGAATCCTGAATTTCTACAAAAAAAAAAGAAAGAAGGAAAAATTTCCACCAAGAGCAACCAACATAAGCCAATGGTGATGAAAAGAATTGAAATAATGAAATGAAAAAAAATCAATCCTTTATTCCAATGTTTCACCAAAAATTCATTCGAAACAACAACAAGATGATGATGATTGATGATCGATATTTTCATCAGAATTCACCGAATTCATCCAATATGAAATGAAAATCGTTTTTTTTAATATTCACTTACTTACTTGCTTACTGAACATCTATTGTTCGAAGAATTCTGCAATTCTCGTCCTGTCTTTTTAAATCGATTATTTATTTATTTGGTTCTCGTTTGATTTGCTCATTTTTTTCATTTTCAATTCTTTCCAATTTCAATTCATAGGCATTTCAATTCATCGATCAAGACAAAGATGGTTTGATTAGTAAATCAGATTTACGACAAACATTCGATGCTTTAGGTATGTTTGTGTTTTTTTTCTAATTTAATGCTGGTCATATTGATTGATTCAATTTGATTTTCGTTTTTTTCTTTAAATCAGGTCGAGTTTATCCGGATGATGAATTGCAAAATATGCTGAGCGAAGCTCCTGGTCCATTGAATTTTACAATGTTTTTATCGATTTTTGGTGAACGTATTGCTGGTTGGTTTTTTGATGAGATTTTCGTTTTGTTTGTTCCGAAATCTAATGTTTTTTCTCCCTGTTTTTTAGGTGGCGATAATCCGGATGTAATCAAAGCTGCATTCAAAACATTTGATCCATTTGAAACCGGTATGGTTAATGTTGAAGAATTGAGAAAAAATTTAACACGTTTTGGTGATAAATTAACTGATGAAGAATTGGATACAGCATTTGCTGAAGCACATGTCGATTCAAAAGGTCGTTTCAATATTGATTCATATATCAAATTGATTACCGGTTCGGGTGATGATGAACAACAATGATGATCCAGGATTTTTTTCAATATTTTTTTTTTCCTGAATCATCATACAAATTTTGGTGCCTTTTTTTCAACCCCCTTTTTTTCCTAAACTATCCCAATCTGAATTGTTTGACTGTTTGTTTGTCTGGCTGGACATATGTTTTGTTCTTTTGTTTTTAAAATACAAAAAAAAACTTTATTTCGGATGATTTTCGATGAGTAAAATGAATAAAATGAAAATAGACTGAAAATTTTTAAATGGCGCGAACAAAAATTTGAAAAATAAAATTCAATGAACAAATTTGATTACGTACTTTATGAGCGTGCACCAACCGTTGCTAAATTTTCACTGGGCAACAACAGAAAACTTTGTTGATTAAACTTTCGATTTTTTAAAAATTGAATGTTTTGTTTGTTTTTCTTGTTTCTTGTTTGGTTTGGTTTGATTTTGATTTTGCCCTTTGGCAATGTCATCATCTACTTCATTATCAAACGAAATTTCTGTCGTCAGAAATTCCGTTGAATTTATCTATGACGATGTGGATGATGATTTTGATGAAATTGAAACAATATTCGAATGTTATCGACCATCAACAATGGCCGGCCACAACAACAACAACGATAATAAGAAACGATCATTCAATCAACACGATAATGATGAAATATTATTGCTCAAAGAATTTATACCGGCCAAATCGAATACAAATCATTCGAATGATGTAATTTTTATCGAATCAATTTCATCAAGCAAAAATCATTATGATCATCATCAAATTACGAACAAAAAATCTCAATCACGAATCGATGATTATTGTATGTGAAAAATGATTTTCCCAAAAACTGGATTTTCTAATCTTTTCTTTTTCATTCAGTTCGACAGTTTAGCCAAGGAAACACGATTCGTGGACACGAAAATCAGCCGAAATCTGTGATAAATAAATCAAAAATGGTTGAAAATCTTTCACTGTTGGATCCACTTTTAGAAACACTTGATCCAACACCCGATTTACAATGTTTATTCAAAGAATTTGATGAAAAATTTTTCGAAAACCATCTTGGTAAACAGAAAAATTTTCAAATTGTTTGGTGTAATCGTCTGACAACATCAGCCGGTATATTTACTGTTGGTTATTTTGGTAAACGAAATGGTGAACGTCGTTATAGACAAGAAATACGTTTATCATCGAAATTATTATCATTACGACCACGATCGGATTTAATCAATACATTATTACATGAAATGATACATGCTTATATTTATTTTGCACGAATCAATGATAATGGATCACATGGTCAATGTTTTCAGGAATTTATGTACAAAATTAATCATTCGGCTGGAACAAATATTACGGTTTTTCATACGTTTCATGATGAAGTTAAATATGCTCAGAAGGATTTGGTTGAACAACGAAACAGAAACAAACGAATCAAGAAAAATAATCAACAACAACAACAACAAATAACCGATGGAAATAATCAATCAGTATTGGATGGTTGGTTAATACGTCCGGATAATGATCATCATCGAAAACCAAAGAAATTCTTTACCCTAAACTAATTACTGTGATTAAACTTTGATTTTTTACTTGTGTTTTTTTCTAAATAAAAAATTTTTCAAAATTTTCATTTTGATTAAGTTTTCAACCACTGCCACTAGATGGTGTATTTGCCGCGCTAAAAATCGAAGCTTTTTTTTAAGGATTCGAATTCGAATGTTTTTTTTTTGATTGGATCAATTTGGTGTCGATATACGAACCGAAAGAAAAGTCTCATATTGCGTGATTAATAACACTAAACACCTTTTTGGTTTTTCGGGTTTTCGGTTTTTTTTTTCTTCTTCGGCTGCTGATACATTTGGATTCATTTTACCATTTTTGGCAAAATGAAATGAAATGAATGTTTTTCGTTCCGTTCAATCGACTGTTGACGTTGGTGGTGGTGGTGGTGGTGGTAAAAAAGCCATAAAGATTAATGATTGTAGAAGAAAAAAGGTGATAATATCATCATCATCATCATCATCAGGTTTGTTTCAACGTTTTTTTTTCTTTTTTCTTCAATTGACTGATTGACTGATTGACACGCCCGAATAATCGTACAAATATTATCGTAATCATTGTTCAATAGATATTTAGGTTGTTCAAACAACTAAAGTTTTAGTTTATTAGTCTAATTATTTAATAAAAGAAAAACATTGTGAACAACAATAACAACAACAACAACAATGAAAAAATAATTTTTCTTTTCGGCTGTTTTCGCTGAAATGATAGATTGTTTATTTTTGTTGTTGTTGTTTATTTTGTTTGTTATTCAACAATGAAGAATGTAAACAACAACAACAACAAAGAATATTCTGAAGAATTATTATTCGATGGTTAGAATCGAATTAGACTTTTTAAAAAGTTCTTTTCCGTGATTTTCTGTGTTCAAAAAATGATGTGGTTTTTGATTCTGAAGAATTTTCTGATTGAAAAAATATCAGGAAAACATCACACACACAATTTATTGTTTTTTCCATTGAATTTTCTTGTTTTCTTTTTCTTTTTGAAATTTAAATTTTTTCGTTTTTTTGCTTTTCGGCAAAATTGAAATTCAAAACAAAAAAAAAAAGAATTCCTTTTCGAGAAAAAAAAAATTCATTCGACCGACGCATGTGCATAATTTTAACACAAAAAAAAAAAAAATTTAGTTTCGAAATGCGCATGTGTATTTGCAAATTTGGATTCTGCTCAATTCAATGTTGTTGTTATTGTTGTTGTTGAATTCACATGTCTTTTCGATTCTTGAAAAGAATTTTTTTTTTGATTCCAGAATCATTTTCATTCATTCATTCTGAAACAACAACAACAACAACAGTGTTCTCGCTCTCTATATACATAGATTCTGTCGATTCCGCGTTCCATTTTGTGTCTGTTTCACGAGGAAAAGAATTTTTTTATTGATAATTCCTAAAAAAGGAAAACTTTTCTGTTTTCTTTTCCTGAAAACAACCAAAGAACATTCAATTCAATAAAAGATTCTGCAATCGATTCAGAATGGCAAACTAAAAAAAAACTGTCAATTCAAGAATTTTCGTCTTTGTTGTTTTCAAGTGAAAAAAAATTTGATAAACAAACAACGACGACGACGACAACAACATCAAGAATTTAATTAATCTTCAAAAAAAAACGAAAATTCTCTTCAATAATAATAATCCATCAAAGTAAAACAAAGTCGTTTGACATTGATAACAAACATTCGTTGACGAAAAAAAAAAAAAATTTTCATTTTTTTCTTCGGTGGTGGCTGCTGTCAAAAACATTCGAAAAACGTTATTCAGCTTAATCCATTTCATCATTAGAATTTTTTCTGGAAAACTTGGAAACTTTCCGAAAATCTCGATTCTTCGAGAAAAATCAATATTAATTTTTCGTTGGTTGAATTCGTCATTGCTGCTGTCGTTGTTTTTTCCAGTGTTTTTGATCAGCTTTTATTATTAATAGAAAATAATAATTTTTGCTTGGCTTTTCCTCCTATGTTTCGTGTACGTGATCAATTTGTTTTTTTATCGCTTGTGTTTGGTGTGTTTGTGTGTCCCAGTGTTTGTTTCACACGTAAAAACGTTTCATTTCGGTTTTGATGATTTCATTAGTTTTTCTCTCGATGAATTTTTTTTCCGGGAAAGTTTCCCGGGTTTTTTTAACAAAATTTAAATTGATGATCATTCGGGAAAATTTCCAGCCAAAAAAAAACAATGTTTCATCGGCATCATTTCGTCATTTGAAATGAATTGATCATCATTCTGCGAACCAAAAAGTGATTTTTTGTTTTGTTTGTTTGTTTCAGGGAAATTTCCCAAAGTAAAAAATGATGATAAAATTCATAAATAATGGCCATTTTGTGGCCAATAATAAATATTTATCGATTATGGTGATCATTATCATTATGATGATACCATCGATTACAAAACAAGCATCGATTAACAGTGATAAACATGTAAATAAGATTTATCATCATCAAGATGCGCAGAAACATGTGCCTAAACATCCATCATTGAAATCTCCAAAATCAAAACCACCATTACTATCATTTGATCATAATTTTTCAATCAATATTCGTAATGATGGTGGTGAAATTTTCCGGGAATTAATTACATCCAATATAATTAATGATTATATTCAGATAAAATTTGAAGAAACTGATGGCTCATTGATTCAACAGATTTTAGATTTTAAAAATGTAAGTTTTTTTATACTTTTAAAACTTTTTTAAATTTTAAAATTACAAATTTTTTTTCCAAAAAAAACAACACTATTTCGACACTTGTAGCTCTTATCAGTCGATTTAGTTCAGTTAACAAAAAAAAATTCAATCAAAAATATTCAATTTCCATTTTTTTTTTTTTTTATTAAAAAACTGAAATTATTTCCCCTCTTTTTCCACACTTTTCCCTCCTTAAAATGATGATAATAGTGCTGTTCATTATCGGTTCCATATCGAACCATTCATTCATTCATTCATTCAATCAGGCTAAAAATAATGATGATGATCATCATCATCATCATCAAAATGAACGAACGAATCAATCGATTGAATCGATAGAGCGAAAAAAAAGTAGTGAAAATAGCACATCCCATTATTATTTTCTCCCATTTTCGTAGTTTTCAATGATGATGATGACGACGATGATAATAATGAGTACATTAAAGTGGTGAGGTCATATTATTTATTTTCTCCCGAAAAAAAATGATTTCCGATTGAAAATGTTTTCATTTTCTCTCGCTTGATTATCATCATTAAAAATCATCATTATCATTCTGTTTTTTGGGTTATCAGAACAGAGAATATTCTTGTATTCCAGAATAGATTTTCTTTCTGTGAATCGTTTTTGAGGTTTTTTCCAAAATGTTTTTTTCCCCTTCTCCATTCATTTCCTTTTCATTTTTCCAATAAATTTTTTTTTTTGCTCGAAGAACCGAAAGAAAAATGATAAATAATTAAACAAACCAAAAATATATTGTATGACGATATTTGTGATTGTAACTTTTAACTTGATTATCATTTTTGTTTTTTTTTGTACGAAGAGCGACTGTAGCAGAATTATTATTCTGATTCTGAATGTTGCTTATTCTGTGTGACCACTATTTCAACTCAAAATGGTCAAAAATCAACCGATAATAATCTTGTTGTTGTAGTTGATATATCGAAAGATCAATGTTTATTTTGGCTGTCTTATTTTTCTGATTAATAAATGATGATCCTGACGATGACTAATGAACCAACTTTATTTTACATAACTTTTTGCTGCTGTTGTTTGGATAAGATACTTAATTTTTTTGGTTCGGGTAAATCGGATTCTGTTTCTTCTTCTCTATTCAAAATCGAGAATATTTCCCGGGAATTCTGTTTAATTAAGGCAAAAAAAAACAAGAACCTTTATTCAATTGAACAGTAATTATGTTATTCTGATCTCTCTCGGTGTGTGTGTGTGTGTGTCATTTAGCAAATATCACTACCATCAAATGACAAATTGACAATGTCAAATTTTCTTTTTGGTCATTTTTTTCCCGAAAAATTTCCCAACAAGAAGAAAACTGACCAAATATTTTTATTTATTTTGTTCAATTTTTGATGCATCAAACAAAACTGTATTAACTGTATTTTATTTTCAAATTTCTCCCCCTCTCTCTCCCGTTGAATCATTCGATTCATCGAATCAAACATCGATTCTGTGGTCGTCATTTCTCTCTCTCTCTCTCTCTCTCTACGATCATATAATATTCAGCTTTAGGGCCTGGAAAGAAAGAAAGAAAGAAAAAATATTTTCGGAAAGTTTTTCTCATTTTTTTCAGCCCGTCTCTCTGTGTTTGTTTGTTTGTTCTTCGATAAAAAAAAGTTTACTTGACTTGACATGAATATCGAATTGGTTTCGATATATATCGCCTGCAAGAAATTTTTCCGGAAAAAAAAGAATTAAAAAAACGAACCAAAATTCTTAATGTCATTATGTTGTTGTTGTTGTTGGTATTTCTGAATCTTTCGTTCGTTTTTTTCAATGAAAATATTCTTCAGTTATGTTTTGTTTGGTTTGGTTTTGATGAAATAAATATTCTCTCTTTTCATTAACCATCCATTTTGCTGTTGTTGTTGTTGTTGTTGTCAATAATGACGAAAATGAACAACCGAATTCTGTTGAGAAATTTCCAAGAAGTTTTATGTTTTTAACGTTTCTCTCTCTCTCTCTCTCTCTCTCTCTCTCTCTCTCTCTCTCTCTCTTGACAGATTCAACAAATTTGCCATTTTTTTTTGCAGGCAATTATCAAATGTTTTCCTTCTTTTTATCGTCATTTTTTTTATCATTTGAAATAATGATTTTTTTTCGGGTTGCTGTAAAAGAAAAAAAATTCTGGTTCCTTTTTTGTTTTCACTCTATAGTCACTCTCTTCGGCCACATTAACCCTTAATATTGCTTTCATCAAATTTTTCCGTTTTTTCGGCTTGCTCCAATGATAAAAGTCTCGGTTGGTCTTTTTTGCTTGAAAAAACAGTCTCCCAATTGGATCCATTTTCTTTTTTTTTCTTTTGTTGTTGTTTCTTTATTGAATTCTTCTATTTTTTCTAGGCTTGCCAACAACAACAAATTCTTGTTTACAGAATATTCTGTGTCGGATGGAATGGATCCACTATTTTAACCCGGTACCGTTTTTTTTTCTATACCCCATTGATGATTCTGATGGATTACCAACCCAAAACAAGAAAAAACATTAACAAACAAACAAACATAGCAAGCAAGCAAGCAAAAACAAAATCATCATTATCATCTGTATATCGAGAGAAGAGAGAATGGAAAACAAAACAAGGTGGTTCTCGTTTTTTTTTGTTGTTTTTCCATATCTAGAATGAAAAACAACAAAAAATTTCTTAACGGTTTTTTCTTTCAAAAAAAAAAAAAAATGATATTATCATTTTACAACCGCACACGAACATTTATCTTTTCTACTATTTCTACCTTAATGATGATATTTTTTCCCCTGTATATTCTGGTCGTCGTTTACTTCTTTTTCCAAATGAATTATTTTTTGATAATAACCATTTTTTTGAAAGGGGGGGTTAAAATGAATGAAATGAATAAATGGTTCCGATCCATTTACTCAGATAAATATGAAAAAAAATATCAAATATTCATCATCATCATAGGATGATGATTTACATCTGTTATATGGCGTGTGTGTGTGTGAAGCCACCTTTTTTGTTCAAATTTCATTGGAAAAATAACCATATTTCCATTTTTAGAAAATATCATTTGCTAAAGGGCGATTAAAGCGCCCAAACAACAATAACAAACGATGATGATGATTATTATTAATTCATTAATTATATTCATAAATGGATTTCAACATAGCAGGGTAGAAATAATGGGTATGCAGGTGTAGGTGTTTATTCTGGATCTTTAGGCGAGCAGCAGAATATTCTTGCTATTTTCATTTGGCAGTTTTTTCCTTTTGCCTTGAAGCAAAAAAAAGTTTTTTTTCCTAGAAATAATTCTGCTGCTGGTTGGATCAATTTTGGATTTGATGTCGAGAAACGAAAAAAAAGATTCTGTGTTTTGTTTCACTAGATGCGTACTTCAAAAGATAAGAATTCTGTTTTTTTTTCTCTGGTTTTGTATAAGATTTTTTCTGTTTTTTTTTTCTAGAAAGTTTCGCACTGAAAATGCATTGAAATTTCAGAAGAAAAAAAAATCCCAGATAAGAACAGAAGAAGAAGAAAATCCATCGATTGAATCGAAATCACTTAAATCTCTCTCTCGCTTTCTCTCTCCATCAAATCTTTATTCAACGATGATGATGGAAAAAAAATGATGAAACTTTTTAATTTAAATTTAAATTTTTCTGCTTGCATTCTCTTTTTCGAGCTGCCTTCAATTTCCCGAATAATTTTTTTCTCCAAAATTACTCAATGCCTTTGGCAAATGATGATTATTTCAAGATTTTTTTTTTCGTAAATTTTCCACCGTGATTTTTCGATCTTTTTTTTTGTCCTGCTGCTGAATTTCAGCTTCACTGCCTTTAATAATTATTGCTGCTGCTATTTTTTTTTTCGCACATTATCATCATCATCATCATCAGGATGATAATGGTGTTGAAACATTCGAAAAAAAGAAGAGAAAATCCATTAAATGTTTTATTGGTCATTTGCCCCCCACCACCGCCAAAACTCCGCCCACCTAAACGACATTTTATCCCCCCTCCAAAAAAATCTCTCGTTTTTTTTGTTGGGGGGTAAATGGACAGTGAAAAACATTTGTTGATTGATGAAAAGTAATGTCCATTTTGGTCTATTTCGACTCTATTTGGTCCACCCTATCTCTCTCTGTCTTTGAAAAAAATAATCCATTAAATGTGAAAATTGTCAACAAACAAAAAGGGATATCATTTTTCTTTTTTCTTTCCCAGAAATAAAATATTAGGCTCATCACCAACTGTGCTGATGATGATGATCACCATCATTAAAAATGATGACCATATTTGTGTGTGTGATTTTTTTTCCATCGAACCATAACCGTATTTGGTTAATCTTTTCCGTTATTACTGTTGCCGCTTCTGCTGCTGCTTGCTGATGATGATCATCTCTGTCATCAAATGTGGGAGGATCCACAATGAACTTTTCGGTTGTTTTTTTCAATTAGAGATGATTAGAAAAAAATTGAGAAAGATTCTTTTGTTTTCAGTGAGAGAGAGGGAGAGAGAGAGAGAGAGAATTCAATATGAATAATTGATAAACAATGATGATGGGACTGAATATGAATTAGGATTTGTACTGCTATTTATGAATGCATTTTTTCAAATTTTCAAAATTTTTTTCATTTTTTTCGGAATAAACACGGGTTTCCTCTGTCACCAACATTCACTGACACT